TTAAATAGCCAATTTGAGCCTATACACATTTTCTTTGGCACACATTACAAGCTGAGTCCCATTTTGTTCTTAATTAAATTCTGTTGAACCTTTACCTTCGAAAGCACCTAAGTCGCTATAAGAGTAAGGTGAGAGTTGGGATAGCTTTTGAGTGTAGCAATAAAAATGCCAAAGGGTGCATGTATGTTTTGGAAGATCATCAGCCAGACAAGCTTAATTTTTGGTGAGTGTTGAAGAAAAAAAAAAGAAAAATAAAGGCAAAGAAAATAGAAAAAGACCAAAAATAGAAAATACACCTCCTATTCATCTCAATCCGGGCTAGTGAATGAATAGTTGTGCTTAAAGTAGAAAGGCCAAATTGTATATGGTCTAGTGGCATTGCTTGAATTGGTCATGAAGAGAATGTATTTGAAATTTAAATGCAGTGTGTTAAATTACTTAGGAGAGTTAGTCACTATATCCAAAATATATCCTACCCGTCCCTTAGCCTACATTGCAACCTGTAAAGACCTAATTAATCTTAGACCTCACAAGGTTAGATTAGTAGAGACATACACTACGGGCAAGCATATGGTACGACCTTGAGATGCACGTGATTTTTTTGTGAGAGTGAGCGATCGATTTCTATTCATAATGTCCTTGACTTATATTTAAAACTCTTGATTTGAATGTGTGGACTACATACTCTCTTATTCTTTGGTAAGGGCACATAGTTCTATGACGGATAAGTAACTTTATTAAACTTTTTTCGCTGGGGTGAGTGTGAAAGTCGAGAGTGCTTATTGACAACGAGCCGGGCATTGAGGTGGGGTGGTTGTGGGTAGGTTGAATTGTTCACTTATATTTCAGCAGGTGAAAGTTAGGAAGTGCATGAATGCATATACAATGACTTAGTTGTTGGCATCAACTATGGTCATTGGTGTAGTGTGTTGAATTTGCTAAATGTTCCTCCATTGTATGATGTCTTGTGTGGTGTTGTTGGGTTAGCAAAGTGCTAGGTTACTCGAGGACGGGCAATAGCTTAAGTGTGGATGGTGATGTTAGGCTAAAAATTCATATTTTTGCATGTAAATTATCTTGCATTATGCCTTGATCTTGTTAACTTTACTGGGAATATTTGTGGCTCGAGCTTAATTTTGGTATTTATTTGTGTAGGAATCTATCGGAGGTGATATGGAAGGATTGTGCATAATTTAAGGCTAAAATGAGAGAATTTAGAGGAGTGTGATTTTTGGCCTCTAGGATTGAGCTAGGCACAATTCAAAACACAAAAGAGAGCACTACTCAGAGTTGGGCGCCCAGCTTTGCGCCAGGCGCGATTCAAAACACCGAAGCGGGAAACTAATTTTCCTATTTCTCCCATGACTTGGTAGTTTCAACCCTACACACGACATGTATAAAAGGAGTTCTAGCCCTTTTTTTCTAGAGTGGAGACATTGTTGGAGAGGCAGGAAGGCTTCGAGAACACTTGGAAGCAAGGAATCACAAGAGTTTTCTTCCGTTCTTCCTTAATCTGTAGTTTAATGCTTTCAATGATTAACGTGATTATTAACATGACTACGAGTAGCTAAAATTTTTATCTCGAATTTTTATAGAACCTTTTGTAGGATAAATTCTTGTTACGTTTTTTATATAATTGAGGCGTGTGATTTCTCTAATTGTTCAACTACGTGTTTGTTGATGTTGATTGAAGAGCTCTCAATTGACTATCCATATTCATTATGTATTGCTTGGAAAAGGATACATATTTAGGCAGTTGTTGAACAACGCCACTCTGAACATATGTGAAATTAATAAGAAGGGTTTAAAGGTGGGATTAGAAATAACGAAACCTTTGTGTGATCTTAGTAAGCGGTGAACTAGTGTTAGCTAGCGTAGTTCAAGAAAAATATATCTAGTAAATTATTGTAGTTACTCGAGAGAGAATTATGACACCTGAAGTCCTAACGATCAGTAGAGAATACTTAGGCGATATTATAGGAGACGTAGCTGGAAGAATTACGACAATTGGAGAAATCATAACTCTAGGTATGTTCAGAAGTGCATCGCAAACGTGTGAAGGTATCGCGTACGCGTAGTGGAGAACGCGTTCGCGAAGTAGCAGGCAGTGGAAGCTACGTGTTCGTGAGAGGTCACTCGCGTTCGCGTAGTAGAGAACGCGTTCGCGAAGCAGCAGGTAGTGGAAGCTACGCGTTCGTGCGAGGTCATTCGCGTTCGCGAAGGAGGAACTTTTTGGTCAATAATTAATTGTTCAACGCGAACGCGAGGGTATGGCCGCGTTCGTGAAGAAGAAAATGTCTGGGCATCAGACTATATTTCAAAATTGAAGGTTTAGCCATTTTTAACATAACTTGAGATAGATAGCTCGATTAGGACGAAATTTTGTGGGATTTGATTCTTCACTTGTTTTTTATTATATCCCACTAATCTATCATTAATTCCATCCTTTAATATCGGATTTGAGTTGAGAAAAATTGGGAAAAATGGGAAAAATTCTTCAACCAAATTTTTGAGTTTTGATTGAGTTTTTGATATCGGATTTGGATAATTTTGGTACGAGTAAACTCGTGGGTGAATGGGTGTTCGTATTTTATGACTTTTACCCGATTCCGAGATGTGGACTCGGATCGACTTTTTGGGGCAATTTTCTAATTTCTTACTAAAGTCTTTATTTCCTTAATTAGACTAGTTTCTTATAGTTATATTTATGGTATGCAATTGCTTTTGGCTAGATTTGGGCCATTCGCAGTCGGAAAATCGTGGAAAAGGCATTCTTACTGATTGATTGAGCTTGGTTCGAGGTAAGTGGCATGCCTAACCTTGTGTAGGGAAAATTCACTTAGGATTTGGTACTGTTGTGATACTTCTGTGATGTGTGAGCGCCGTGTACGCATGGTGACTAGTTCGTACACGGGCTAATTATTGTAAAATCCGATTTTTACTGAGTAATAACCTGTTTTATCTTAATTGAGTTATACCAGCATGTGTAGTTATCCTGTTTAGTCTAATATCGCATGTCTACGTATCTTAAAATCCTTATTTGAACTATGTGCATCATGCTTAGTTGATTTCCTATTTTTCCTTTATCTGTATCAGTCTTAACCGTAGAATTCTTGCTGTTAATTATTGTATTCATCGGTTTCGAGCTGTGTGTTTACTTTAGGACCACGAGGCGATACCTCTGGTGTATAGAGAAACTAGTTTTTCTTCGGTAGCTTGTGACTTATGATTTTTTGGTTTTTGGGAGTACGGTGTATACTAGAGTGTTGGTTATTATACATGCCGAGTGGCATTTTTATCAGTTATTTAATTATCTGTTGCAGTTAGTTGTTAAATTTTGGTTTTCATTTTTCCTTATTTCGCAAATATTAGGCTTACCTAGTCGTAGAGACTAGGTGCCGTAACGACATCTTACGGAGGGAGAATTGGAACGTGACACGATCGCTTATACTATATAGGACTAGAGTTGGGCGTGATCAAATACAATTAAATTTTACAAAAAATTGAAAATTTAAAAATATCTTCATATACAAATGAAAAGCGAAAATATGGAATGCAGATACAATACTAAATTTTGTTTTGGAAAAGGTATTTTGTGAATTAAAAAATATTATTTAGGGTAAAATAGTAAAAGTATTGCTCAAACTGAAAGTGCTTATAAGCTGAAAAGTCATAAATTGGGGATAACTAACTTATGGCTTATTGTTGATTTTACTTATAAGCTCTTGACTTGTAAGCATTTTGGATTTTTAACAAAAAACACGTATATAAGCTAAAAGGTGCTTATAAACCAATTTAATCATCTTATAATTAAGCTTAGCCGAACACCCTAGCTTTTACTCACTTCTATGTTTACACCCAATTGAGCAAAAACATAGCATAACATCCTTGGATATGACCTAATGTAAGTAAAATGAGTTGAGAATCATGAAGTTTCAAGTTTAGAGTCCCACATCCATAATAATATTATATTTATTTCTCTATCCGAACATCGGGCATTTGTAGAAGGTGATTAATAATCGCCTTGGCGAAACTTTGAGAAACTAAAAATGTTTTTTTTTCTCGAACAAAGGTGCTTATACCAGAGAGTTATGATGCTTGACTAAGCTTGTGGAAAAAAAAATGCTTTTGAGTAATCTCATTTACTTTTTACATTGTAGAGTACTCTTTCCCTTTTGATGTGTATGTTTTAGTTTAACTTGGCACAAGTTTAATTAAGAGAAAGACTTTTAAAACTAGTTTGTGATTGTCGTAATATTTGTGTGGTTATAAAAAAAATTTTATTAAAATAATATAAGAATTTGTTAATGTTTTTGAAATTACTAATAAGAAAATAATGCCAATCCTTTTGAAGCGGAGGAGTAAATACTATCTAGCCGTGAACAAAAATGCAGAAGTTCCGATTCCAAGAAGTGGCAAGCAAGTACATATGATTCGAGCCCAAAATTTGTGGAGAGGGAGAGGTGAGAAGGATAGAAATAAAGTATGGGAAAGTGGTAGACAGTTTGGTTCTGATCTTTTGTTGGTCACTTCATGCGAAAGTACCATCATGGCCTTGATGGTGCTAGTCTCCCAACTTTACTAAAATCATTGGTATCCCAATTAAATAAACGATATCTAATTAGTGAGTCGTTTTGCATCGATTATTACATTAACGTCCTCCCTCATTTAATCTTCAAAAGTTTAACAATGAATCATGTAATTGGAATGTATAGTATGAATATTAAATTAATGTCTTATTAATTTCCGGTGGCCATCACTTACTACTATAAATGTAAATACAACGAATATTAAAAATGCTTGATGATTAATTTATTACCGGTCATCTACCTAAACTTTGGTAGGTAAAAATTATCTAAATCTATGATGGTTGGAGGTATACATAGCTAGCAAATACTCAATAAAATAATTGAGATGCGCTTGTATCTACCACCGTAAAAAAAAAAAAAAAAAAAAAAGTGAAACAACTGTCCTCTGGCTAATTTACGTTAAAGGGGACGTCAAACAAACAGAGTTCAAAGCCAAACAAAAGTAGCACCACACCATGGATGTTGAGAAAGTCTTCCACATGACAGGAGGAGTTGGAGAAACTAGCTATTCCAGAAATTCTTCATTTCAGGTCTCTCTTATATATGCATGCTAGCTAGAAATTAAGTATTACATTAACGAACATTTTAATTATTATATTGTATTACTAATATATTTACTAATTTGCAGAAGAAGGCATCTGATATGGTGAAGCAAGTAATCCTAGAGACTGTAGAAGAAGTTTGTCTCACAACAAAGCCTAAGAGCATAGGCATAGCTGACTTAGGTTGTTCCTCAGGACCAAACACTTTATCAAACATTAAACAAATCATTGAAACGACAAGCCGGAATAACAAGCTCTTGCAACCGGCGGCACCGACCGAGTTTCGAGTTTTCCTAAATGACCTTCCCACCAATGACTTCAACGTCATTTTTCAGGCCTTACCTGAATTTCGGCACCAGTTAAAGGAAAAAAGAAATCATGGACAGGACGATGAAATAGGTCCTTCAAATATATACATAGCTGCTTATCCTGGCTCATTTTATGGAAGACTTTTTCCAGATCATTGCTTGCATTTCATCTATTCATCCTATAGCTTGCACTGGCTTTCAAGGGTTAGTTTCTATAATTGATTTTCTTCAACTAATCTATGTGTGCTCTTCTCATTTTTTGCTGATTAAAGTTAGAATTTAACCATTTGTTCCATTTTATATGATATTTTTCCTTTTTAGTATATGTTTTAAACAGACTTAAGCTTCTCATTTTTTCTTTAGTAACATGCTCTTATTATCGCGAAAATATCATGTCATGTTTAAGACTACAAGTTTTAAGATTACTTTTAATTGGTATGTGCCAATTACTTATAATTAAATTTTAAATGACCTGATCGATAAGTGTCAATTTTTTTACATTATTAGTGAATATAGAAGTTAAATTCTAAAAATTGTATAAATTATTATTTTTTTTCTTTTAGATTCCTCCACGAATTTATGATGAAGATGGGAGGTCCATGAATAAAGCCAATATATACATATCAGAGAGCAGTCCTACTCAGGTTTCAGAAGCATATTTCGAACAGTTCCAGGAGGACTTCTCATTGTTCCTCCGTTCAAGATCGGAGGAGCTGGTTAGTGGTGGAAAAATGGTGCTGATTTTATTGGGAAGAGAAGGTCTTCATCATGCTGACAGAGGAAATGCTTTCTTCTGGAAAATCCTCTCTAGGTCATTAACAAATTTAATTAATAAGGTAATTAATCATTAATTAATATGCATCGCTAAAGTATATAATGTTCCACTTGGTCATGTTTGTTTAGTGAGAAATGATGACACATATTGGATGTTCCATTAGAAAAATGAACGACTTTCTAAACTGCTAAGATTGTACTCCCTCCGGTTCAAAATAAGTGATTTTTTGTCTGTTTTCACACAGATTAAGAAATCCACCTTTTAGCATTAATTAGCAATAGAATTGACCATATTAACCTTTAGTATCTCACATAAACACTCCTAACACATATTCCAACACTATTTACTCCAAGGACAATGTAAGAAAAAAATAATTAATTTATTCTTGAAATCTGGAAAGTCACTTATTTTGGACCACAAGAAAAAGGCCAAAAAATCACTTATTTTGGAGCGGAGAGAGTAATTACTTATATATGCGCCACTCACTTTATTCTGTAATAATTACGGTACAAAAATAAATTCAAGCCTTATTATTAGTGACGACATGATTTTTATTCTTTTTCTTAATCTAATATTTTTCGTTGCTTTATAGGGAGAAGTGGAGAAGGAAAAGCTTGACTCATACGAAGTACATTTTTATGCACCATGTAAGGAAGAAATAGGAGAAATAATAAAGAGAGATGGGTGTTTTCAAGTGGACAGACTTGAAATATTTGAGGTAGAGAAAAATATTGTTAGGAATGGTATGAGCTATGGCAGAATGGTGGCCATGACAGTTAGGGCAATCCAAGAATCTATGATATCTCTCCATTTTGGAGAAGCAATAGTAGAAAGCTTGTTTGAAGAATATGGAAGAATGGTAGATGAAGAGATGGCAAAGGAGGAAATTAGGCCTATAACTTTCCTCCTCGTTCTTAAGAAACTATAACCTAAAATATATTGTCAGCAGCGACAACGTGTATATATAGTTTAAGTCAAAAACAATATAATTTTATGGATTTCACTAGAATCCACCTCTAATAGTCGAAATCAATTTTTAGTTGATACATTATGCTAGTAGCTCTTCTTTGTACAACATGATTAATTTAGTTGATATTATATGCTAGTAGCTCTTCTTTATACAACTAGCTAGCTCCACATGGTGGTACGAATTAAAATAAGTTGGCAAGTACTGTTAATAACTGATGGTGGACTTATTGCATGATTAATTATATTACCATCAGCTTTGTGCACAACAAAAATTATACGCTCTGTATCCGTAGTTAATACCCACGTAAAAGATGTACCATTAGATTTGAGATCTCTATTCTTTCTCTCTTTCTACTGAAATTGGATGTCCTCTTTTGTAGATGGAGAATGAAATACGATGATCAAGAGTTTGCAATATATTTTTTTCAATAAAAAAAAAAAAAAAGAATTGGTCACTTGTAATACTCTGTAATATTTTATTTGGAGATATCTTGGGAGTTGGGCTTATAACTTTTGGGAAAATGATATTGTATAGCTGCTCTCAATATAATAGCAAAAAAACGTATATTTTTTGTATATATATACATTCTGTATGTTATATACAAAAAGTATACAAATTTTATACACTTTTTCGGCTGCTGAATATAAATAGTTTCTGACGCGAGTTAGAAATGATAGTACTCCAAAAGTCCCAATTGAATTTAAATGAGGCGCATAACCCTTTTCATCACTTGAATGGTTTACTAGTTTAGTACTACCAAATTATATTTCACTTTGGAATAAAATCTATAATTTCCTATGTATTTTTGTCCAATGACATTCAGTTGAAACATATTTTTGCATTCAAATTATTGGTTTAAAGTAACACTGGTTTGTATAGGTCCAAATTTGGACGACCACGACCACTACTGAGTACGGCGAGGAAAGAGGTCCTTACGATGTAGCGTCCTTTGGTCGTTATAAAGGGTGACGACCGACAGTGGTTAGCGAACGCACGACGTCTGCAGTAGTGTAAGCGTAGTAGGAGACAGTAGGAATATGCTTTTCGAATATTCTTTATGTTATACCTTTTTAGGGTTTAAAAGGGGATTGTCCCTTATAAATAGGGGGAGGACACTTTGTAAAGGGGGATGAGAATGAATACAAAAAAGAGAACTTTGTTTACTGAATACAGATCTGAAATCCCTACATCATCTTTATCTTGGTCAATCGCATTTTATTACAATATTTTTCTACATTTGAGGTTATCACATTTATGAGTAATCATTTGGTTCCGACATACTAGGAAGCATCATTCACCTTGTTCTTATCTTGCATCATTTAATCTAGATTTTATTATACTTGAATGAGATTTACCTCTTCATCTTCATTAATAATCAAAAAGGTTTCAATATCTTAGATTATATCTTTTGGTCAAACATGGTTGTGGTTCTTGTTTTTTTTTTTTGGGGGGAGTTAAATATTTTGATTTGATCTTTAAAATGATTTTTGACAAAACATACTCAAACAAACTAAAAAAGACTCCACTAAAAAGACGGTTATCTATTCGAAGTTTTCATGGGATGGTGTTTCGATCGTTTCTCAACAGTTGGGGTGTAGAAGCTGTTTTTACCAACATCACAGAGTGATCGGTCAAGGGTAAATTAACCTAAATAATTTAGGTTGTACATTGACATATAACAAACTGAATGATTATCGATTTGCAGGCATTTTTTACATAAACATTATCCAATTACTTAGATTATTCCTCCATTTTTATTGGAAATTATTGCCTGTTAAGATTTTATTCCGCAGATATTGTTTATGTGAAGAAAGTGATAAATGTTAGGTTTGTAAGCAATTAGTAACTCAAAAAACTGATAATCCGAGTTGAGAAATAGTTAATTGCTTGATATTATGTAACAATCCGGCCGGTCGTTTTGAGTATTTTAGCCCCGGTCCCCTATTTATTGTCTCCTCTATGCTGTATTATGGTTACGTGACTTGCCAGGGGTGTTTAGTGTTGGTTTCGGGTGAGTTTCGGAGTGAAATGAGACATGTAGTCCCTAAGTTGGGGCTTTAGGTTGAAAGAGTTGACTGTAGTTTGACTTTTGTGTAGACGACTCCGGAATGGAGTTTTGGCAGTTTCAATATCTCCGGGAGTTGACCTTATGGATACCGAGGTCAGATTCCAATTTCGAAAGCTGGAGTAGGTCCGCCATGTCATTTATGACTTGTGTGCAAAAATTGGAGTCAATTGGAGTTGTTTTGGTAAGAATCGGTATTAGTTTTGGAATTCGGAAGTTCATATTTTCAATAGGCTTGAATTGGGTTGCGATTCGTAGAATCAATGTTGTTTGATGTTTTTTTTAGCCTCGAGTAGGTCCGTTATGTGTTTTGGAACTTATTGGTACATTCAGACGGGGTCCCGTGGGCCCCGGGTGTGATTCGAATTGAATCCAGAACAATTTTGGACCTTATGCATTGCTAAAGCACTGCTGTTTCTGGTGCAATCACACCTGCGCATTTTGGGTCGCAGGTGCGGCGCTGCAGAAGCGAATGTTGTCATGACCGGCTGGGACCGCAGGTGCGGTCCATGTTCCGCAGAAGCGGACTCGCCGATGCGGGGAATGCATCGCAGAAGTGTATATGGCCAGGAAGGCCCGGGATCGCAGAAGCGGACATCGTCTGCAGAACCGTGTGCGCAGAAGCGCATTTTGTCCGCGAAAGAGGAAGCACAAAAGCGGAAAGTCCTGACTTAAGCTGGAACCGCACCTGCGATGGTTTTTCCGCAGGTGCGGCATCGCAAATGCGACCCCTTGCCCGCAAAATTGAAACCGCTGGGCAGAAAAAGGCTAAGTTCGAGGGTCGATTTCATTTTTCATTTTTGGACCTAGAGAGCTCGGTTTGTGGCAATTTTTCGGGAGATTTTCAAGGAATTCATCGGAGTAAGAGATTCTAACTCGATTTTGGTTATATTACAAGAATCCATTATTGTTTTCATCAGTTTATTAGTGTTTTGAGTTGGAAACTTGAGAAAAAATTTGTGAAACTTCTTAGGCTAAATTTTTGGATTTGAAAGGCGATTTGAGGTCGAATTTGAGTAATTCGTGTATGGTTTGGACTTGTTATCGAATGGGTGTTTAGATTTTATAATTTTGGTCGGGTTCCGAGATACGGGCCCGGGTTAACTTTTTGAGTTGACTTTTTATTTCTTTGTAAAGATCGTCACTTTATTGTTCGAAATAGTTTCTATTTATGGTATAAAATTGTTTTGGCTTGATTCGAGCCATTCGGAGTTGAATAATCAAGGGAAAGGCTTACTAGTGGATTGAGTTAGCATGTTTTGAGGTAAGTATCTTGCTTAACTTTGTGTGGAGGATTTACCCCTTAGGATTGGTGTTGTTTATGAAAATTGTTATGTGTGAAAGCCGTGTACGCAAGGTGACAAGTGTGTACACTGGCTAAATGTGAAAATTTATCGATTTTAGCTATGTAGATTCCTGTCATGCCTTAATTGAGTTAACTTAACATGTTATAATCATCATTACTAGTCTATCTTCACATGCTCTACTTGTCTTATCTCTTACTTATTAATTGTCTTTACATGTTTAGTTGAAGTATTGTTTCCTGTATTCTTATTCATTATTTAACCATTGAGTTTTTTGCTTGAAGTTGTTATTTTTGGAATATCTTGTTTGTTGAAATTGGTATTGAGTTATAAAGGTCGTGATTTACATTGAGGCAAAGTTGTAAAGTTATGAGATACTATTCTTATTGAGTTATTCACTTGCGGTTGTTATTATGAGACTCTTATGCATGTTGTGGTTGAGCCATGGGCTATTTGTTGTGAAAATACTATTGTTGTTGGTTTCTTGGCAAGTTACGATATTGCGCACTTGAGGTGCGATTTGTGATACGTTGTGATATTTATACGCGCATGTGGTGATATAAGGTTTTGGGGTTGAAACGTATGCGGTGAGATAAGTTGGGATTGATACGCGTGATGCTAGTAGGGGAACTACTTGAAGCCACGCGGTGTGATAAGGTGGGCTAAAACGCGGGAAGCTATTTAAGAAAAAATAATTTTCAAAATTAAATGCAAGGCTCCCGCGGTGGTATAAGAAAAGATTGTAAATTATTGTGTGATTTGAGACTATGAGGCGGTACCTCGGTAGTGATTCTTGTTGATACTTTCCTATTACTTGACTTGTGTTTTGTTGTTTTGTTCTGTGTCATAGCATTCCTTGTTTTTCTTCTGTGATGCATTATTTGCCTTAGTTAAGTGTAGCTAATCTTGGTGTATTTCTTTATTGTCTTATTTATATTACTATCATTATTTCACTATTATATTCCTATCCAGCTTCTTATTTATTCCAGTAGGGCCTTGACCTAACCTCGTCACTACTCTACCGAGGTTAGTCTTGGCACTTACTAGGTACCATTGTGGTGTACTCATGCTACGCTTCTACACATCTTTTTGTGCAGATCTAGGCACCTCCTACCAGTCCAGGCACCAGTGAGACGAGCCTAGTTCGGAGACTTCAAGGTATACCTGTAGGCGTGCGCAGGCCTCGGAGTCACCCTCTATCTAGGCTATTTTCTTTTCTTATCCTTATATAGACACTGGTGTATAGGGATGTTCAATACCATCTTATAGAGCTTGCGACTTGTAATCACCAGATTTTGGGGAGTTGTTTATGTTGAGTCGCGAAGTTTCCTTTATATTAGTTGTTGATTTATTGAGACTTTAATCATTATTTCAGTTATATTCTGCATGAATATTAGGCTTACCTAGTCTTAGAGACTAGGTGCCATCACGACATCCTACGGAGGGAAATTGGGATCGTGACAAGTTGGTATCAGAGCTCTAGGTTCATAGGTGTTATGAGTCACGAGCAGGTTTAGTAGAGTATCGCGGATCGGTACGAAGACGTCTGTACTTATCTTCGGGAGGCTATGGAACGGTTAGGAAAAGCTTCACTTCTCGATTTCCTTATCGTGCGAATTTGTTGACTTCGAAATTCTAAATCTTTGTCTTTCTTTTCTCTCACGGATGGTGAGGACATGCACAGCTGGATCTGATGATCAGACACCCGC